CGCGGTTCAGGCGCGTTTCCCATCGCTGCGTTTGTTTTGGCGCCGAGGTAAAAGCCGTCGGCCTCGAATGGAAGGAAGCTGCTGCCATCGCTGGCAAAGAGTGGAAAGCTGAAGCTGGCGGGCAGGAATCGACCAATTCGCAATAACTCCTACACACCAACCAAAGCGGAACCACCCTCGGAGAAGCCAGGCCAGCATACTACTCTTGAGAATGACGACACCAAGTCATACCGTACATAGAAAAACCGGATGCATGAGGTCAGACTACGCAGAAACCAACGGTGATCTACCACTTTATACACCTTGAACTAATTTTCGACGGATCATCAGCTACGTACGTTGTATTGGTGTTTCAGCTGAAATTGGTTAGCGCTTTTGGCTGGCCATAAATTGGAACCATGTCAGAACAACACTGATGACAAAGGGAGGGGAAGCATCTAAATGAATACCATGGCCAGGGTTCACATCACAGCCATATTCATTCTGCAGGACTGCTTCCACAAAACCCACACCCCTATCGTCCGGAGTCTCGGCTCAGAGCACACAAAACGTCTTCAACAGGAAGTCATTGCTAGAAATATGATATGACCCATGCGACACCTTGATCAGCAGTTTGTTTTATGGCCCAGTGTGTGGTCGTGGGCTGGAAAACACGCCCTTGACGGCTTTTCATTCCGACCCGATGCGCGCACGTGCACTTGCTGCCTGAGAAAACAAGGCCAAAGTGGCGTCGCCGTTTACGACCCCGCGCATTTGTGCTTTTGTAAGTGATAATTTCTTGAGACTCGACAACGCTTTGTGCTTCCCCCATTTTGGGCCGTGGCTCAGATATGCTGCGTCCAAGACTCCAAGCTTCTCAACTTGGTTGACGTTGAAAGGGGAGCAAACACTTGAATCTTAGCAGTTAAGTGGGGATTTCCCACTAAACCACAATAAGCAAAAATGTAAAATGTTTCCCAGCAACAACCATGTCAAGCCTGTTTCTCCAATGCGATTTGAAGCTCTCGGTCAACCCAGGCCTTCCGTGACCCGGTGTCTTTTGTTCATGGGCGCACCTTGATACCTGCACAGGGAACCGGGCACTTGCAGGTGTTTATCAGAGTTTATCGTGTCTGGAAAACACATGCGCGCAATCGATGATGGTTCTTCAAGCCTGTTTGCTCTTTTGCCGAAAGCATGCACTCAAGTTCCGTGTGGCCTGCGCAAGGAATTGGACACTTGCAACTCCTTCTCGCGCCTTGGTCCAAAATTATCAGAAAGTTTGCTCGGAGCAACTTGCGCCGAGAGACTTGCACAAAGTGAAAGTGGCTCGCAGAGCATGTTCTGCCGTGGGGTATGTCTTGGTCCTCTCAAAGCACCGGGAAACAATGCTTTCGGGCCCATCGTCCTCTAGTTGCCACGCCGCGCAGTTGCCACATGGATGCAGCCATCAAGCAGCAAGCGTGAAGGCTGGCAAGCCGGACGGACCAGCTGCACGCGTAAAACCAGATGAAGGACAGACCAGCCCAGAGGCTGCACCTCCAGCGGCAAGAGCTTCGAAGCTCAAAAAGTCGCGACACCAAATCCGCATTGAGCGAACAGAGCGAGGAGCGCGAAAGAGGTGTGAGACACCAGCGCCTCAAAGCGCAGGAGACCCCAGAAAGCCAGCAACCAGCCACCAAACAGAAGGGCTTGGGCCTAACAGGGATCCGGATGCATGCAAAACACCTGAACATTGCAACTTGTAAATGGTGGTTTCCCTTCTTGGTGGAAAAAGCATCATGTTTCAAATGGCTGCAAAATGTATCTTTTAAGGAGCCCCGCCTAAGTCCCACCAAATCTGCTCGTCGTTTTTTTTCTGTTTCTGCAATGCTGCCGAGCATCTCCCTCTGCCGGCTTCTTGTCCTCGGCTTCTCCAACCAAACACAAGATGGGGCCAACGAAGCTTCTGTCGTCATCACTCGAGGGCGGCCCATGGCCCCTCCCAGCCTTCATGATTTTCTAGTTTCTTATGATGTTAGATGTCAGCAACTGCCCATGTCAGGATCTTTGCTAGTCCCTCATTAGATGTTCTTCAAAGAGAAAAAGTCTGTGGGCTACTGAATCATAAAGCAAAGAGGAGCTCAGAATTTCGCATGTTTTGGCATGTCTTGGCCGATTCGTTGTATCCGCACACCTCAGCCGGGTTGATGATTGCTACGTACAGACATCGATTTGCACTTCCACATCGTGGTGCCTCTGCTTTCAGTTTTTTTGTTCTTGCTTCCGGGTGTCGGCAATGAACCTAGGGATTCCCTGAAAGGAAGCTACACAAAAAAGCGAAAAGGGGTCATTCCCTCATTCCATGCTGAGCACCTGCAAGTCTTGGGTGTGTGGTTGCGAAACATTTCCACAAAGTGTGCTTTTCTCGGAGAGGGCTCTTAGGGGGCCCTTGCTGTTGGATCACATGCTGCAAGCCGGACTTTCGCTGCGTGTGAGCCTGTGATCAATGCATTCAAGCGAGCCTGGAAGTTCAGCGAAAGAATGGCCCTTTCATGTGGCTCACGGCTCGTGGGTGAAATTGCCTTTCCACAAAACGGTTCCTCTTCCCGTTAGTTTTCCTTTAAAACCAATCAAACACAGGGATGGCCCCGATTGAATGGGGGGTGTTTCCGTTTTTGATTGTGGCCCCTTTTGTTTGATGGCTTGAAACGGAAACCAACAGGAACACGCCAACTTTCTGGGCAACCGTTTGAGGGTGTTTAGGTTGTCTGATCATCGGAAACCAGCCTCTTTTTGCAACCTAAAAAAAAAATCGAACCGCGCCCAAGCTGTCGATAACATCTCAACCCCATCGATCACCCTGCCGAGCAGGTCTTTCTCTCGCCAAGGCTCTGATTTGATGGTGTCATGGGGGCCTTCAGGCTTGGACCCACCTCAGCCAAGTGGATCTTCTTTTGATCCTCCAAAAAGCTAAGTTAAATTGTGGGTTAAATTCTGTGGGTTAAGATAAGTTAAGTCAAATTGTGGATCCTCCTGCTTTTGTGGGTTAAATTATGTGGGTTAAGTTAAGTTAAATTATGGATCCTCCTTCATTTGTGGGTTACATTCGGAACCCCAAGCACAAATCCAAAAAGCTGAACACGTCTGGGACCGGATGCGCCGGATGGTTCTGATACCCTGCTAGTGACTCACTTTTTGTGGGTGAAATTCGGAACAGCCACTAAACCAACTAGAAAGCTACAAACCTAAGGCACCGGATGGCTGGGAACTACCAAGGGACGCAACCTCAAGGTGGCAAGTCTTGCACACGATTTCTTGCTCAACTCATATTGCGAGCCCAAGAGGATCTATCCAATCAAAGTGGTCCTCACAACTCATGCCGGTAGTCGCAAAAGGATGATAACTTCAAGCCCCCTCAGGATTGGAGCCTGGCTGTGGAAAGGGTTAAGAATCGACCCAGCTGTCAGCGTCTGTGGTTGTGGAAGTGAGGTTGCCATGCCATGTGCTCCCTGTTCTTTCTGCTGAAGCATGTGGTTAAACCTCATGTGGCAATGACCGCAGATTAGATGTGGTCCTTTGTTGGGCCGTGCCGTTTCTAGTCAATTGGGAGGAATGTTGCCTATGGTAATCCCCTCTCAATCTTGCACCATAATTCAAAATGGCTATTGCAAGCAAACCTCAAGCATAAGATATAGCAACACAGCGCGCATGAACCACCGACTCAGACATATGATGACAAACACCCTCTAATCCGGTGTATTAGCAATTACGACTGCAAACACGTGCTCCACATCGCATGCCATTCAATCAGGGGAGGGGGAGGGAGCCCAAATAAGCTTTAAATAAGGCCTCAATAAGGGCCAAAAAAACGGGCTTATTGAGGCTCCCTCCCCCTCCCCTCCCTCCCCCCCAGCCCCACTCACTCACTCACTCCCTCACTCCCTCCCCTCCCTCCCCTCCCCTCCCCTCCCCTCCCCTCCCCTCCCCTCCCCTCCCCTCCCTCCCCCCCAGCCATGATTCAATTGATTGGTTTTGCCCCCGTACTGGGCAAGTGGCTGGGATCTGCTTCATCGAGACCCAGGCCTCAAGCCGGCGTCGAACGCTCCGATGTCGGCGCTCAGAAGACGTAACTCGCTTGATAGGAAACCCATGGGGAAACCCATGGGGGAAACCCATGGGGGAAACCCATGAAACCTGCAAGCACTTGGGAAACCTGTCGGAAACCCCATAGGCCCCAAAGGCTGCTATGCCAAAAGGCTTTTGTTCGAAGGGCGTTGTGTGTGAAGCTTGACACCCCAAACAGAAAAGGCCGATCTCGAAGTGTTCAGGCAAACCTGGCGAGGAAAAGCTAGATTGTCGAACTGGATGTCGGACATACCATTGACCAGCTTGAAGCCAAAATGCATATCACAGGGAACCACGCCATGCACCATGAACATTGGAAGGCCATTGCCCACTCAAAGCAAAACAGAAAAATCAAATCGTCGAAGCCCTTTTCTGACACTGCGCACCGAGGTTGCTCTAGAAGAAGGCTACCTGTCAGGTGCTGGGGGCCCCCAGTCTTGGTCTTATGGAGCAAACTGGGCGCCCCCGCTATCTGTCTCTCTCACGCCATGCCTCAGGTGCGCTACACGCAAAAGAGGCAGCTCCATTGGTGCTGACGTGCTCCCTTGAAACATCAACCAAAAGGCATCACTTGAGAGGCGAGCCCCTAAAAGAAGCTAAAGCTTAGAGAACTCCCGCTAGCGCAGCTAGCTTTCGTGATTGCTTAAGATGCCAAAAAGTGATGACCCCATTTACTGCAACGGTCTAAGGAGGAAAGATTGAACTCCAGCTCCCAGTGAGCAATTCCTTGGCCATGACAAAGGGTAAGCGCATACCATTGGTGGCCATGCCGTGCTTCAGAATATGGAGTCTGATGAGAACGCCTAATTAACAGCTGATCCCAAGTAAACACCGTAGAAATCATTGAAACCATTACCTGTATTCAAGCAGGCATCGTCCAAGATGCAAATGAGGGCCTATGCCACAGAGCTGCCTTGTACACACATGTGGCAGGGCGTCACATGCTTGGACTATCAGTCTACCTCGCCATAAAAAGCCGATGGGCCTGACAAGAAAAAAAACAAAAACAAATCCGCGTCAGGCAGCGACTTTCGCCAACGAAACAGGGGGAAGCTCTTGCAATCGCGGAGCATGTTTTATTCTCATTGCCCACTGAGCTGCTTACTGGCAAACTACAGCTGATTCCACCATAAATCAATGTCAGAAGATTCAAACCGTTGGCCTCAGCAGCCCGCCATTGGGATAACAAGATGCTGTTGGAACGAGATCCAAATCACAATGTGACTAGATCGATGACTTCGAAGGCCAGCATCAAATTTGATGGCATCTAAAAGTTAGGATGCAGAGCTTCTGAAAGTCAAACATGGCATGCACAGCTTGTCTCTCTCCCAAGCTGCAGTTGTCCTGCTGGGTCTCAGCAGGGAATGAGTTGGAATAACCCCCATAAACCATCCCCGATTTGGTTCCTTGCAGGGAATCCCCTTCCGGTTCATTCCCAACACCCAGAACGGTCATTCCCTACCTATCGCACCCGCAAGTTGTATGTGGAAAAGCGGGGGTCTTGCCTCATGGAGGCCCTTCGATGACCAAGTTGCTGTGATAACCTGCTAAGCGTCAACCACCCGAAGACTGCGTTGGCTTCGCGTTAAGCAAAGGGGTTGGCCACTGTGAGCAGCCAAAAGGACACCAACTATTCCACGCCCTAAGGTTGACTCCATGTTGGAAAGAAAGCTGCAATTGAAAAAGCGGAAGGCTACTGATTTACTAACATGGCGGGACACAACTCGGAAGCCCTATAAACCACCACCACCCCTAGCCCCTCATCCCTAGGTGCCAACAACCCGTCAACCCCACCCCAACCCGCCCCAACCCGCCCAACCCCCCCCACCCCACCCAACTGAACCCCTACTGCAAGGAACGCCACGGCCGCCAGGCCCAGCATAGTCACCAGCCGCATGGCGGCGTTGGTTTTCGGATACGGATACAAAACCATTTCACCGACCAAAATGAGCTGCGGGGAGCAGGGCGCGGAAAGTCGAGTGACTCATCCAAGGGCCGGGAATCGGTACCGCAGGATGTGTGTATATATATATATATTATTATACATCCTTTGACCCACATGTTACTGTACAGGTGACACCGACAACACATGCAAAGCGCCCCAAATAAATGCACCATCAAATCACAGATTTGTGTGCAGGCCATTCCTGTTTGTTGTTTTTATTTGTTGATGCGTTGGGTCCTCCAATAGAGAGGTTAGAATAAGGGTACCCTTTTTGTCTGTAGTCTATTTTAAAACAAGGGTAAGAGGGCACTACTGGCGGACCTAGTCATCATGAACAAAACATAACAAAACCATGTTCTCTCATCATTGGCACTTCTGCAAGGCCCAGCACGCTGCAGTCGCGTCGGGAACCGACACATCTTCCTTCATGTCGCATCATACCTAGAGTTTGGTGGAACCGCCCGCCATTCATATCATCACATGGCGAAGCAACAGCTTCAAGGCCAAATACAATCCAACACTAGAAACATTGTGCTTTATACAAACATGTTGGCGCCGCGAAAAGGATCGGAAGCTCAAGTCGTAGCCTTTGTTACCCGCACGCGCAGCTTCAAAAGATATGGGCACAACAAGTTCTTCCGCCCAAAAGCTGCAGTTTCCGGTGAGTCTGGTGGCCCCAAACGCAGTTGCCGGTTTTTTCGACCAAGCCATCAGCGATCCGTCGGCGTTTTGTTCCAGCGACCTCTTGGGCACCAGGATGCCAGCGACGAAATGCGAGCAAGCTTCGCCAGAGGCTGGAGGATCCAAATTGCTTGGGTGCTGTAGATCCCCCAGCAAGCTTAATTTGTTGCAGGTTACAAGTTACAAGGCAATATGAGGGGCAACCAACAAATTAAAGTCTAAAGATCCAACCCAATAGCAGTAGAGTTTGAAGGGAAGCTTTCATTCTAGCTCCAACCCGCAAAGAGATCAACCTGTCTCGCCACAGAAAACATCTGCAACTCAGACATCGCAACCACTCGGAATGAACATGAAAACAGTTGAACATGTATCGCAAGCAATATGTCGCATGAATGATCTTGAAGCTTTGGAACCTCAATGCTGAACACACAGCGCCTTTGAACTTTCCGGGGTGTCGTCAGCATTGGGGACGGCTCAATCTCTGCGCCGCCCGCAGTTCCGGCAGAAGATGGAGTCCGCCATGTAGACATTGCCGCAGCCAGGGCAGTGGGACACCTTGGCCACATGCGGCTCTTTACAATCAAAAGGTCCAAAGGGTTGGTACATCAGTTGGAACCGTGGTCTACACAGAAACAGAACGCCATCGCACGAGTCGTGCTTTGGGTTTTGAGTTTTGAGCGGCGAAATACTACGATCCACCATTTGCCCCATGCTTCTGAGCCCTGAGTAAACTGAAGTCTTGGAGCAGGGACCACCTATGTCCAGACTGGAAGACCTCATCAAACCTAACCAAACGGCCTAGGGCCTGGATCTATGCAACCCATTCTGTGCTTGTCTGGGTGGATAGTCATGGCTGACACCAAAAAAGAAAGAAATGCTCTCAGCATGGCAGATTTGCCTGGACAGCTAACGAATGGCGTGGGTTTTAAGCCACAATATTCGCAGTCTCGCTGGCTATGTCCAGAGTGTAAACACCAGATCGCTGCATCCGTCCGACCCATTCAGCCGCTCACCCGGCCAATGGAATCGACTGACTAACTGACTGACTGACGGACTGACAAACCAAGCCGCCTATGAGCAAGGAAAGCGAGAAAAGCATGGGTTCCCGACTTGCCCTCCTGCCCAAACATGCGAGCAACTGACCTTCCCAACAGATCAACCGAGCAAATGGCTTAGTCAACCACCTGAATCTTCATGGTAGCTTGCTGTTCATGGCAAAGCACAGTACCTGCCTCCTTCTCAAGGTCCCTTCCCGATATATCAGCCCGAGCCACGAGTTCTTCTGTAGAGAGCACTCCGTCGTGGTTGGCATCGATGCGGTTGAACATCACGTTCTGGTCGAACACATCATTTTGTTCATGGCGCAACAGGGCTCCATAGATTTCCGTTTTATGTTTATGCCCTGACAAGGAAACTCAACTAGAACCGGTGCAAGCATCGTTGCTGAAAGTGGCTTCAACGGGACATGCGCACCGTGTTGAGGGGGCCTGGGCAGATTGAAGCAAGGGCTCCGCATTGCACAAAGCTTCTCGCCAGACCCGAAGCCCGTCCTGCTGCATTGGCACATAGCTCACGGGTGCGGCCATGGCCGCCTGACGCCGTCCGATTGGTTTTCCTGATCACCAGAGCAAGACAGGTAAGTCAACAGACCTATCTCACGGACTCGACACGCCGGGGGCTCCCTGAAAAGGTTTGGGGGCAGGAATTCGCATCTAGGAAGCGCTAGAAACTTCTGGGCATTATCCACCACAGCTGGTCGGTTTGATGGTTGAAGAAGTGGCTTGACCTCGGCTATGTACGGAATTCAAAGTCGTTGTTCCAATCTTGCTGGCGGTTTTTTGCTCCCTGCCGTAGAAACAATGAGCAACTGTGTGCCTCGAAGATCCGCACCTGCCAAGACACGGAAAACGTGCATTCTTAGAGGCAGGCATGGGTTAAACCCGAAAGCCACCCATCAAAATGGAAGGAAGCAAATTGCACACCATGAACCGAGCTTACAACGTTAGCTGTGCTGATCGTGTTTATCCCTTGGCATTTTATTTAACTGATCTGCCCTCAACATAGTCGAAGACTTTTGACCATGGCGCAAGTAGCGTTCAGGGTGCACTTCCTATCCTTCTCTGCAGTGGAGCTGTTGGATGAGGTCGCTTTGACCTTTGGTTTCAACTCATACAAACATGGCACTAGAAGGATTCAATTCATTGCCCAGCGACCTGGGGCGAGAAATGGCGAGAATGACCATACTTCGCATACTAAGCACAACACCATCTGAAACTATAAGCATATATGCTCCTCCTCCTCCTCATCATCATCATCATCATCAGCAGCATCCTCATCATCATCACCATCATCATCACCACCACCACCATCATCCTCATGATTATCATCATCATCATCATCATCATCATCATCATCATCATCATCATCATCATCATCCTCATCCTCATCCTCATCCTCATCCTCATCCTCATCCTCATCTTCATCATCACCCTTCATCATCATCACCACCATCATCATCATCATCATCATCATCGCATCATCATCATCATCATCATCATCATCATCATCATCATCATCATCATCATCATCATCATCATCATCATCATCATCATCATCATCATCATCATCATCATCATCGTCATCGTCATCGTCATCGTCATCGTCATCATCATCATCATCATCATCATCCTCATCCTCATCCTCAGCATCACCCTTCATCATCATCACCACCATCATCACCACCATCATCATCACCACCACCATCATCATGATCATCTGGGCATGGGTTTTTGGGGTTACCCTACGACACCATCATCTACCCTCACCGGCCGTTTCAAGTTGTGTTGCGACATGGCTCGCAACCGTGAAACGGAAAAGCAACTTCTCAAAGCCGGCACCTGAAGGCCGTGCACCATGCAGCTGCCGCGGACAGGACTGCCTAGAAAGGTGGAAAGAAAACAAAGCGACGAGGGCATAAGGTTTATCGTTGTTCAAAGGGCAATATTTCCGGTTCTGTGGTATCCACAAAAGATTGACCTTGCTATGATTTGTTTGGCCAACAGGAATATTTTTGGTCATCGTCTCCGGCGTCCAATCATCGCACGAGTCAGCAAAGGTGCCAGCCCAGCCCTTGCTCAAATTGCTTTGGGCTTGCGCTTGATTTAGTATGCCAAGGACTTGGGACACAGCGGGAGCAGAAACTGGGCGAACGGTGTTCAAAGCGATAATTCTGTTCCGACCAAGTGCAGCAACCGGAAAAACAACTTGAAACATGGGGAGTAAAATGCCACGGAAAATACATGTGGGTGCTGTTCCGTGACTCTTCCATGCAAAGTGTAGAGGGATCGATACGCTCTGGGATGGTCATGCTTCTGACAAAACCCTTACAAAATCCAAAGTCAAGGTCTGTAGCCAAACCAAAGGCGGCATTCAGCTTCTGCGCTAACCGTATACATGATGCCTCGGTTTGTTCCAAACTACGGCCCTCCCCAATCTCGGAAAATACCCACTTGTCCCAACGCACGCAGCCAGCAACAAGCCACTTTCCACTCCGGGTTGTATTTCGGTGGTTTGTTTTTTCGTGATCCTTCTACGCATCTAGCCTTTAATCATGCTGGCCCACGACAAGAGAAACTCCACGCTGTTCGTAGGCTGAGGAAGACCTCGACATGCAAGGCCCGAGCTGGATGATGCCGGATGTTCCACGCTGGGTAACTCTAGGGGCGCCCTGTGAGAATTAGCAAGACACGTGGCCATGGGTCAAAATCCCGTACCCCCAGTGAACATCCCAATCCCCACCAAAAATAGACTAAACTGGGTGGTGCACCAACCCCAAAATGGTACCATTGGTGTTGACCCACGGCCACATGTTGTCAATATACACACCTAGCAGGTCCTTGTTTGTGCCTCTTCGCCAAAACGATGCTGAACCATCATAGCAACAAACACCCAAGCCAACGAGAACTCATAGCCCATAAACAAGACACGCCAGCGCAAATGCCCATGTGTCAGGTGCCAATGATTCAGGTGTGCTGGAGTTCCCCCACAAGACCGAAAGGTGTGTCTTTCATTCTTCCCAAATCAACAAGGCACACATTGTATAAAAAGCAAAAACCAACCCATTCGATGCCACTCGCACCCTTTGCCCTGGTGCCTACCATAAAAAAAAAGAAAAACAAGCGAAAATGCGGTAAACATAACATGTGTACCAATAGCTGAAAAAAACAAACAAAACAAAGTGTACACGACAACAGTAGCAACAACACATGTACAATCATACAAATATACTTTGCACAAATATGGCTGTGGCTAAAATGACACCTTGGTACATAGAGCCAAAGACTATCACCTGCTAATCCCTAGCTCTGTAATT